CTTAGCTTCAACAAAATAAGAAAAATGAAATATTACAAGCTAAGTGAGTGCGAAATCCAAATCACAGTTCAGTTTGCAAGAAGTAGGGATATAAATGTTGAAAAATTAAACGGATCGATATAATATATATGACACTATATGAGGTATATGATGGCAAACAACAATAAGATAAAAGGAAAATAGTTAATTGACAGAGAAACAAAGTATTTTATTCATTTGACTAATATGAAGAATAATTGTGTAGGCACAATTATAATTATGTAGGCATAATTATTCTCTATTTCAATAATACAAAACTTATGAAAATAGTATAATATTTATAAGGGTACATGCCAAACCCTAAAAATATCACAAAGATTGAAATAAGATTAAAAAAATTACGTGGAATAAAGTAAACTACATCTTCCCCATAAAAACACATGGAAAGAAAGAAAAAATATTTTCTAAAAAATCTAGTCTAATTTGGGTAAAAAAAAAACCCAATAATCTTCATCTTGATATAAATTTTGATGCAACGAGCGAAATTCCTAAAAAATAAATTCGACTGAAATGAAAAATGCGAACTCTTCAATAAGAACCAAACTTTCTCTAGTACAAAAATACTCATCTTTCACGGTATCCAACACGGATACATGAACCCAAATATCGAGTTCCCCAAAATATATAAATAATTAGAAATTACCAAAAGGTGTCGAAACACACCCTGTAGCAAAATCAACACCTAATGCTTTCATAGAAGATCCCCTAGCTAGTCCTAACACCTTCAAAAATGTTAAAAGCATGTGCAATCGAATCAATATCCACGTATCTATTTCTAATGAGTATATCCTTAGCAGTTGAATACGATGGAACCACAAGTAATGGTGACAAAGAGAAATTTCCCATATCCTTCAAACTCGATTAGATAATATTTTTCAATATAGACCCCGAACCAAATCTCAATGGTACAATACTAAACTGAATTTCCACCACGATACTAAATAAGTGCTGACTTTTCTTACAAATTCTATCTAAATTTGCGAGATGTATAATGAGGACCTCTTCCGCCTATCCAATACAACACGAACGCCCTTTTGAACCCTTAAAACTGCACATTCTCTAGAGAACGTGTACCCTTTTGAAGCAAAAGTGCTAAACGAAATAAGATTCTTCTTCAAGTCTGAAATATGTCGAATGTGATCAAGTCTTCTATATATTCCATCCACCAACTTCAATTTGACGATATCAATACTAGCTACCCAACAAGATTCATTTTACATATGACAACGACACCCTGCTCACCATTTCATATGTTTTAAACAAATCCCGATTGAGATACATAAGCACAACCTATATCCAAAATTCACTCATCATCGTGTTCGGACTCTATGTTAGAAATCGTCAAAATATTTACATTACTCAAATAGTTCTCGGCTATGTTGGTCTCATCTGAAGTATTTAATTGTTTCACATGATTTACAATCAAATTACTTTTGCTGTGCAATTTGTCTCAATCATTCTTAATGTGTCATTTCTTTTTACAATAATAACAAACTTGATTATTGACATTTGAGCTCGACTTACCCCTTCTCTAGTCACCATGTATAACAAAACCTTCTCCATCTCTGGTTTTAGATCCAACCAGATATTTCATCTCCTCTTTTAAAAACAAGGCATCATATGCATATTTAATGGTGAAAGTATCATGACTATACAAGATCGTGCATCTAAATGAAGTAAATGAAACAGGCAGAGAATTCAAAAAGATTAAGGCCAATTTTTTTCATCATACTTTAATGGGAAAATTGCGGCCGCAATCCCAAACCTTTCATTTTGTTGCAGATTACACCCAAACCTTTCATTTTTACGGCCGAAGTCCCAAACCTTTTATGTAATTGCAGCGTCGATCCTAAACTTTAATTTTTGCGGCATAAGTCCCAAACCTTTATATGTAATTGTAGCGTCGATCCCAAACCTTTGTATGTAATTGCAGAGTCGGTCCCAAATCTTGAATTCCGTCCATAAAACTGTTAGTCAACGTTCAAACAGTAATTTTGACTCAGAAAATTTGCAGCTCCGATCCCAAACCTTTTATTTTGTTGCAGATTACACCCAAAGCCTTTCATTTTTGCGACCGAAGCCCCAAACTTTTATATGTAATTGCGGCGTTGGTCCATTTCACGTACTCTGTCCATAAAATCACCAGTCAACGNTGTCCAGAAAATCGTCAGTCAACGTTGAGACAATATTTTTGACTCAAATGACAACTTAGCCCCTGTTTGACACCCATTTTGTTTGAAAAATAATTTTTGGAATAGTGATTGATGGAAGATTGTGTGGTTAAAAAGTAAGGAGATTTTTTTTTGGTTTATGTGTAATATTATTTTATTAATAGAATATGTGGTTGAAATGAAGAATGAGAAATAGAATGAGAAAAAAAAGGGTGTCAAACAGGGGCTTAATTGATGAGCAAAATTGTCAANGATCAGATAACAATTCGATCCGAATTGTTGTAATAATCGAATCGATAAATTATTTTTATGATGTGTTATTTGGACGCGATGCGTGAAATGGACCAACGCTGCAATTACATATAAAGGTTTGGGACTTCGGCAGCAAAAATGAAAGGTTTGGGTGTAATCTGCAACAAAATAAAAGGTTTGAGACTAGAGCTGCAAATTTTTCGAGTCAAAATTACTGTTTGAACATTGACTAATGTTTTTATGGACGAAATTCAAGATTTGGGACCGACGCTCCAATTACGTACAAAGGTTTATGACCGACTCTGCAATTACATACAAATGTTTGGGACTTATTTCCTCAAAAATAAAGGTTTGGGATCGAATCTGCAATTACATATAAAGGTTTGGGACTTCGGCTTCAAAAATTAAAGATTTGGGTGTAATCTGCAACAAAATGAAAGGTTCGGGACAGCGGCCGCAATTTTTCCTACTTTAATTATAAAGTTTTCAAATCAGTGACGAACTCATTGAACATAATCAGATGATCTTCCAAGGATCCATCTTGTACCATGCGATGAGAATACAACTTTTGCTTCATATACAATTTACTTGTTAGACTTTTAGTCATACACAATTATTCCAACTTCAACCACAACGCAACTATCGTTTTCTCTTTCAAAACGTCCCAAAAAATATTGTTAGAGAGATGAAAATGGATCTAAGAAAATGTCTTCCGATCCTTCCATTGTTTTCCTCAATCATCCAAGTTGTGTGCATTTTGTCAAGTCCCAACAACGCATCATCCAAATCCATCTGCTCTAGTAAAACTTGCATCTTCATTCACCCTAACCAGAACCTTGTATTGCAATCGAAGAGTGGAATTTCATACTTCATGACTGCCATCAATAACAATAACCTCGAACAAATCACAATGAATAGTTCTAATACCACTTGTTGGAAAATAGAACGGATCGAGATAATACGTATGACATAATATGAAGTATATGATCGTAAATAAACAATAAGATAAAAGGTAAACAATTAATTGGCACATGAATGTAATATTTTATTCAATTGACTAATATGGAGAAAATAAATATAATAACTGTACCTACACAATTATTCTATATTTCAATAATACAAAATTTGTGAAAATAGTTTAGTATTTATAGGGTACATACTAAACCTTAGAAATACCAAAAAGATGAAAACAAGATAAAAAATCACATCAAATAAAGTAGACAATATTTTTTCATTAAAAATACGTGAAAAGAAGGAAAAAAAAATATTTTCTCAAAAATTCAATTTAATTTGGGTCAAAAAACCCAATAATAAATCACATGGACAGTCGTTAAAGAATCTTTTGAGTTAACAT